ATATTAGTATAAACAATCCTGAAAAAAAAAACTAATAGGGTTTCTTCTTAAACTTGATTATTAGAATTTTTCACTGTTATAAAACTTGAAGAATTCAGAAGTAATGCAGTTTTGTTTTTGTGTGAAAAAATATTGTCATTCATTTAGCACAGAAGAAAATTAAAGATCGGGGGAAATGTCAGTCACTTCATTGAATACGTGTTCTTGTAAGTTAAGGTATTTAATTTACTTGCGGTTCATTTGCATTTTACAGTTTAGAATAAACCAAAATGTACGTTAAAAGATCTTAAAGCAAATAATATTTTAGTATGAAACTAAAAAGAAATGAAGTAAAGTAAAAGAAGTAAACTGTCATTAAATATAATTTCTTTTTAAACCAATGACAATGTAATCCTCAAAGCTTATATTTTAACAACAAGCATTTTGTCTTTAATTCGGTAGCTTTATTAAGGTAAATTTGCTTAAGTACTTCTATGGGATTAATTTTTTCTTTACAATAGCATTTAGCATCAAGCATCTTAATATATTATCAAATATGCTAAAATAATACACCCTCTTTAAATATCTCATTATATTGAGCAGTAACATTTTCAAACAACACGCAGAAATAATGAAGTGTGTTGTTAAACATCTAAGAGAGAGAAAAAAAAGAAAATATATTGTTTCCACAGCTGTTTAAGTCACTTGTCTTTTTCACTGAATTATGAACGTGTTACTTGAGATCCTCACTAGATGTCACTGTTCAAACGTCTTCAGAAGATTACACTCCTATTATCATCCGTCCATTTTCTTATAATAGAAGGATTCTCCTTGGAAAAAAAATAAGGTTATTCTTCTGATAAATGGTCTGACTTTTAATAGAGAACTCAGAACTCACTGACTGATAAAATGTATTGATTTTGGTTACCTCTAGTTTCTATATTTACGTTTACAGATGTTCGGAGGGAGGGTACGATAATCAAAACAACACAAAATGTAATTATAATTTCTCTTCATCCATTTGCTTAGCTATTCTCGTTAATACTAATTCTGACGTCAGACATATTTACATTTCGAATAAGCAAGCACATTACGAGATCCGCCTCTGATAGCTCAGTGGCAAGTCTGAAGGTTTATAAAGCTAAAATTCGAGTTTCGATATCCGAGATGGGCAAAGCACTGATACTACATTATGTAGCTTTGGACTTAACAACAACAACAAAAAAGCATTAAGGGATCAGAGGTACTAGTTACCGATTGTTTTGAAGGGTCAGAACCTTAGATTTCACTTTTCATAAAAACATCTAATTAATAATGTTTGATAGGTTGTTTAGGCAGAGTATTCATAATGAATCTAAGTTTCAAATGGACAGCAACTGTCTGTTGTAGAAACCTACAAACGTTGAGGACGAAAAGCGGAAAACTTTCGAAACGTAGTCCTCTACATTTGTAGGTTTCTACAACAGACAGTTGCTGTCCATTTGAA